GTTTATTAACTTGAACGAAAATTTTAATTTCGCATCTCCTACTATATAAATAAAAATTGTTGAATTTTAGTAAACAAAATTGAATATTCGAACATGTTAATTTAGCGAATTGTCTTATAATACGTCTGCATAAAAATGGAATTATGAAATTATGTTTTTTATGCGAATTTTCAGCCCGTTTTTTACCAAATATAATTACTAGTGTATAAGTATATTTCTTAAAATCTCTATAATCATTAATAATTATAGAGTCTTTAAATACATTTCAAACTTTTCCAATCATACATCATTAAATTAAGGTTTAACAAAAACGAGTTAAGGACCCTTCGTCACTCTCGTCGATTTAATCAACGGTTATCTTTTCTTTGTAAGTACCTTCACTCACTCGTAAAAAAAAAAACGAATTACTAATAAATTTAGTAGCCCGTTTTTTCAGATAAATATATTTTTAATTTATTTTTTATTATTAATTATTGTATTGTTATATTTCGCTAATCATATAACTTTTTTAATATTTTCATTTATTGTAATCTTTTATATAAATCTTTTTATATAAATCTTTTATATAATCTTTTATAAATCAATAATACGATTATAACAATATATTGTTTACAATATAATATACAATTATAAGTGTGCAAAATATAATAAAAATAAGAATATAGGAACATAATTAACAAATTTTAGTAATGCGGGATTATACGAAAATATCGAAAATACATACGATAACATAAATTTTTCTAAACCAATGTTTAACGAAATATTGATAAACGCGAAATGAAATACTAACAACAAACAGATTGTATTTACTATTAATTATTAACTTGCGATTATAAAACTTATTAATATGGTGATAAAAAGCTATTAATAATATTTACGATAGCACTTTCATCGTTCAAGATAATTATAGCCCAATAATTTGATCATATTATGATCCCTTCACCTCGTAGTACGCGGGTTAGTATCCGTTACAAAGAAGAATAATTTTCATAGTGGAGCGCAGATTCAATGCATGTCTTCCGATTTTACATTAAATTCACCATATCTATTCACAAAGAAAAATTAAATTAATTAATTCGTCAAACATCAACAGTCTTGTTACAGGAGCGTGCAAATCTTGAATCTTCCAGACCACTGATAATAATAATTTTAGTAGCATATCAATTGTCATTTTTATCGCATCTTTAATATAATATTAAAATTCATGAGAAAGTATGTTCTGCTACACGTTACTAAAAATCAACTTATTAAAAATAAACGGATAAAATGAATTTTATAATATTTCTTTATAAAATAGTGGTTACAAAGGAATATATTTTTGGCTCTCCTAAATGAGATTCTCCCCTTATTGACGAATATCGGTATTATAGATATAATGGTAAGGTAGGAAGTGATAACTGTGAGATATGTTTTCTGTAACCTCCTCGCAGGTCATGTTCTTTTAGTAACAGGAGCAATGTTTCGAGATCCCGACGTGACACGTTCGACAGTTGTCGCGCTGCCATCTTCTTCCTCTTCCAGAATATACTTTCCTAATAACTTCGATTTCTCCGAGTTTTATGAGTCGTGTCTTTCGCTTGGGATTGGAGTCGTATTCTCGAAAAATATCATATGAAATATATAAAAATAATTTACGTTATATATATATATGTGTGTGTGTGTGTGTGTGTGTAGTTACATATATTATAGATTTTCCTAGTATTTTGTAGAAAATTTATTTTTTAAGAATTAGGGGGAGGCCCAGTTTTAACCATTTTTTTGTTTAATTTCTGTTACCAAAATATTTCCATTTATATATCTTAATTTACTTAGCAAGTTTTCGAGAATCTTGAAAGACGTTTTTCAATGCTTGTTGACTTATTTATTGATTTGTTTATAAATTTGCAGAAGATATCTAGCACGGCTCGAATAACATTAATATTATATCTATTATTTAAATTTACATTATTTTTTTTACACTTTTCATGAAGTTGAAATATAATGAATTTTGTGCATTTTTATCATTTATTGTAAGACATAATATTTCTTGTCATATGTATAAAATAAATATAAACGAACAATGTGTAACATACATGATGGTATTGTAAGTTTTTGTTTTTTGGATTTCACATTAAAAAAATACATAGGATTTATAAAAATACGTTTATTTTTTCCATTACAAACTTTCCAATTAATGTTATCATTAAATTTTATTAGAGATAAAAAATTGAGTATTTTTTTTCGCGAATGAATACTTTACCGAATTTATGCAGAGGTAGAGGAACGAATAGCGAATAAATATAAATAAACAAAATTTGTCTTATTAATTGTATCTATAACGTACTATCGTCTAGTCAATGTTAACATGCATTTAGTTATCAAAACTAAGCTAATACATAAGCATAAATTACTAAGTATACTAATATATTCATATAACTTTTACAATATGATTATAAATATAAGATGTTCATATCGTTGTATGTTACTTGCACATATTTTACATCTGTGCTATCTTCTTATTATTCCTCATATATCTTAACTTTTCTATTCTAATGTGACTTATAGGATGGAATTCATAGATGTTGCTCAAGATTCAACATTACTTAAATGAGTGCTTGAAATGTCATGAACCAATCAGAGAGCCATATTATCATCTTAAGACATTGCTTGAGATGATCTTGAGATTAAAAACGAACTATGGATATCGGTCTCTGTCACGTTAGAAAAAAAATAACTTTCTTGTAAAAATTTTTTTTCAATTCTTTTCTGAATTTTACATATATTTTCAATATTATTAATTTTCAATATTATTCAAATAAAATCATTATTATATAAAATTAATTACTTTATCTGCAATAATTCTATTTTCCTTTGCATTCTGTCTTGCATGTAATATAGATTCTATGCAGTATATTATGTTACATTATTATAAAATATAAATTATTAAAGCTTGTACATACTTATTGAACTTGCATCTTAAAACTCGCTTGCATATGGCAGTTTTGCGCAACTTTCTTTCATCGACAATATATATATATATATACATACGCATATTTCTTCAAAATATAAATTTGATAATGTAATTTTTTATAATTACATCATTTAAAAAATTAAATTTTAATTTGTCTAAAATTATTCCTCTGTATTAAAGATCTATCAGATTAACTTCCCTCGTTATTGTGTTCAATGTAGGTGCGACTGACGTTGTGAATGAACGTACATGAGATCTGAAGCTGGTAGCAGGTTCCCAAGCTTCATCTCGCACTACACCCTGATTTCTGGGATACATAAGTAGCGGGTCTTTCCCTGTCTTTTTACACAATCTTTCTTGAAGCATGATCAGGCGAGATCTCCAATATTCATAGCTTGCTTGTTTAAGTGCATTTATCCACTGCTCCACTTGAGACTCTGATCGACCACTTAATATATGCCGCTTCTCTGGCTCATCACGAAACGAGATGCTGAACGCAAATGCTCCCTCTGATGAATTATCTATATTAATGTTGTAATTTTCTAAAACGATGACCCCAGCAGGTTGCCTCCTATCGATATGTCCCAAGTCATTGATATTGAAATAAAATAATAGATTATACCGCAGCTTGAACCATTTTTCTTTGAATACTGGAAGCAAATATAATAATAAATATCAGATACATGTTAATCATTTACTCTAAATATCTAGAATTGTGAATACATCTTTTAATTCTTTCCTTCAACTGATATTAATTTTCTTGCAAAACTATAAAATGTACTATTAAGAATTAAGGCTAGAAAACTTTATAATCAATCATTAAAAAACAACTAATTTACTATATATAAAATGTTATACAGATTATTGATGTATAATATATAAATGTCTTTCTTTGTTTCGATCAAAAGATTTATTTCAAGTATTTCAGAAGTAATCAAAATTCTCTCACAAGTTTTATTTAATCGTTTCATTTCCTCTAAATTATCTATCACCTACAATTGCCTTGCAAATGACAATAATAATTGAAAAAAATTTTTAAGTCTAAATAAAATACAATATTAATTCAGTATGTACAATGTAAACACGTAGAATAATTATAAATTACATAATCGAAACTCTCTACACAAATAAAATCTATCAAGCGACAGGCAAAGTGACAGATATGACAGCAGATAGGTTAAGATCGTTGTATTACGTAAAACTCACTCAATATTCGCATCTCGTACTAAACTAACCTGACTTATGGGCTCGTTTGTGATTTAGACGTCCCTCCAGGTCCGCGGGTCCAAAGCTCGCTTCCGCGAGTTCTTTGTCATTGAATCTCATGTCAGACTAGGACTTGGACGACGTTGTCGCGTTGTACATACGTGTCACAAGCAGTCACAGGGGTTGTCGCGCCCTGACGAAATATTCCATCTTTGATTCGTCAGTCACATTGATCGCAGCATATCAGGCTGCGAGGATCGCCTCCCACGTCAATCAATCGACATGGGCCGATGGGCGCGCTTTCTCGCGTTCTTTCCCCCGTCTTTGCACGAGTGCTTTCGCTCCTGCGTCGTTTGATAATCGCCAGGAAAAAAATGATCCTCGACACTCCTCGATGATAAGCGTTCCTATCGCGCGATCTCACGTACGACGAAACGAGTCAGCCATCCGCGTCATAAATTTTGAAATAACTGGTCGTTCGCCAAAGTTTTCACGTGATTTTTCTAGCTGTATTTTTCGATTGGCAACATAATGTCAACGTTTAATTTAGCTAGTTTGAATCTCACTCAATGCCACGGACGCAGAAGAAATAGCTATAGCTCCGCGTCATTTTATTAATCATTACGTCACAACTCAAAGGCAATGATTATGAAGATGTCTATATATACATGTATATATATTCAGCGAAAAATAATTAAACACGAGAAATTATGCACAATTATTTAGTTTAAATTCTTGCTTTTGGCTGTTAATTAATTGTGATAAAGCTAGGCGACTTCATTTAAACCGCAGTTAATTTTATCGACTATTAATAACTCGTAACGTTTGTAACTCCTGCTATTTTACAAATGTCAATACGTATTTACGTAGAACAATACAAAGGAAACGTTTCCTCGAGTGTTTCCCGTAAAGAATGCCATCAAACGCCATGCCGCCACATTCGACACGATTGATCGATTTTTCTGTCTGCTAGATTATCATTTTTCGAGATTTGGGTTTGCTATTGATGTCTCGTTTCTGAGATCTCTCTCTGTTATTGGTCGATTTATTTCCTGTTTACATTTTCTTGCATGTTCTTAATTGCTTTCGCGCGCAAAAATTGCGATTTGAAGATTTTGTCGACAATATGTACAATGGGCACGAGTATCTGTCGTGTATCAAAATCGTGAGTAATCTCACAGATCTTGGCTTGTGACTTTGTAAAATAAAGTAGCAAATAATTGATTTTTTGACTGTGCGAGAGTGATGCCTATAAATGTTTTCGCCTCTCAGAATACTTCAAAACAAATCGCGATGAAGAATACGCACGAAAAGGCAGAATCGATGGATCTAACGACGGAGCATCGTAATTTAATCTTAACGGCCAATAAGGTTTTCGGAGAAGACAAGTGGAGCCATACTGTTGTGAATCAAACATTAGGTACACTTATTACTATTTCAGGGTGCTTTCCATTTGGTGACAAAAAGTCGACATAAGTATCTTTTATCTTTCATCTTTGTCACTCTCTGAATGTCAAGAAGGATAGAACAATTCTTTTGTCAATTTGTATCATCAAGTGGAAGGCCCATAGTTGAAGAAAATTTTCATAAGTGTAACTAATTTGTCAGATTTATAAAAGTGAGCTCAAATTTATATTATAGATTTTGTCGAAATAATTGGTGCCAAATGTTGTACTGGCTGCGTTAGCTTTGTCAAGGTCCAGCTTGAGAATGGAAATTTTCATGAAGATATTGGTTATTACAGTGCAGAGGAATCCACAAAAGGCTTGTCGATACACAATGCCAGAGTTGTATGTGTCAGTCAATTGGAGAACAAAGAAGTAGAATATTTTATATTTTGTTAAACATTTATTTCTGTGTGCAGGGTTCTGCTGTAAATGCCTTAAGAAGAGTTCTGTTGTCATTTGGAGACAAAATTGAAAAAGAATTGCAACAGTTACAAAAACAGATTGATTTTAAACAAGCTAATAACATACAAAAAAGTGTGATACAATCAGACGAGCAGATTCCAAATAAATCAAATGTTTCAATTAAAGCACCTGTTTCTTACGTGCAACAAACAGAATGTACGAGTGAATCTC